TACTTACCAAATGCATGCAAACATCTAAACCCTGCAGACACTAATCAGAAGGCCACATTTTGATGATTAAGCAAAACAAAAATCAGTGTAGTATTTGTCATTCAGGGGGTCTGTTCACCTGCTCACCTTCTCAGAGGCCTTCCATCAAAACTGCAGTGTATGCTCTTTTGTGTAGCTCCCCCACCATCTCTCCTTTTACTGGCATCCTAATAAATCTTTGCTTTCTTCTTTAAAAAACAAAATGTAGCTGGGCATGGTGACACACAGCTGTAATCCCAGGACTTAGGAGGCTGAAGCAGAAAGACTGCAAATATACAGACAGCCTGAGCCAAATAGTGAGTGTGAGGAAAGCCTTGATACATAGGGAGACCCTGTGTTAAAAAAAAAAAAAAGGAAAAAAAACTAATGGCACTGCATTCTCCCCATCTTTATATTTCTGTGGGTTCCCCTCCCTCTGAATATATAATTACCTGAAGTCATTTTTTTTCTGGTACTGAAGTTTTGAACTCAGGGCCTCTCACTTGCTACATAGGCACTCTACCACTTGAGCCACACCCCAAGCCTTGAAATCATCTTATTTATTTGTGTTTATTCTCTCTTTCTCAGTCATGAGACTAAGAATATTTGCCTTTGTTACTTTGTTATCCTGCCTAGGTCAACATCTATTTTTGGGGTTTTGGTTTTGGTTTTTTTTTTTTTTTTTTTTTGACAGTACTGGGAATTGGACCCAGAGCCTTATACAGGCAAGACAAGTGTTCAACTGCTGAGCTACACCTCCAGTTCAGCAACTGCTTGTTGAAAGAATTAATACTAGGTCCCAAATAATTTGAAAAAGAATACCACTAGAGAACTAACCCTATCTGATTTTAAGATTTATTATAAAGGTAGAATAATTTGAGACTGTGTGATAATAACATAAAGACAGACAAATAGATCAAAGGAACAAAATGGAGTCCAAAACAGACCCACCCATAAAAGGATAACTGATTTTCAACAAAAGTGCAAACTCAATGAGAATGATAGTCTTTTCAAAAAATAGTATTGAGGCCAGGCGCTGTAGCTCATGCCTGTAATCCTAGCTACTCAGAAAGCAGAGATCAGGAGGATCGCAGTTTGAAGCCAGCCCCGGCAAATAGTTCATGAGACTCTGTCTTGAAAAAAACTACCATACACACAAAAAACAAGGCTGGCAGAATGCCTCAAGTGGTACAGCACCTGCTTAGCAAGTATGAGGTACTGATTCAAGCTCCCATACCACCAACAAAAAAAAAGAGAGAGAAAACAGAAAAATGAAAAGCAAAGTCACAGACTCGGAGAAAATATTTCTAATTCTGATAAAAGATCACAAGGATGAAAGGTAATACAAAGAGCATATAAAGGAATTCTGAGATCTCAATAATAGGAACACAAACAGCTAGACAAAAATAGGCAAGAGATTTGAACAGACACATCATCAAACGTAACACACTGATGCCAAGTAAGCATATGAAGAGCTAATGAGCTGGAGTTGCGGCTCCCAGAACAGCACCTAACTAAGCCCTGAGTTCAAATCCCAATACTGAGAAGAGAGAAAAGACAGGGAAGGAAGGAAAGAGGGAGGAAGGGAGGGAGGAAGGAAATTATTAGTGATTAGGAAAAATACAAATTAAAACTACAATGAGGTCAAACCTCAGTACCACCAAAAAATTTTTTTAAAAACCACTACAGTGGGAAACCATGACACACTCACTAACAAAATGAAAAGGACTGGTTATACCATGTGTGGCGAGGGTGTGCATGAACTCTGTGTAACTCTTATAGACTGCTGGCAGACTATAAACAGTATAACCACTTTTGAAAACAGGTTGCCAATTTCTGAAAAAATTAAATCCACCTACTATGTGAACAGCCATTCCCACTTGTAGGTATTTACCAAAGAGAAATGAAATGTGTCCAGGAAAACTAAAGGAGCATTCAGAACATCTATTATTTGTGATAGCCAAACTCTGCAAACAATCAAATGCCCATCAACAGGTGGAAGGAAAGCAAACAGTAGATCCTACAACAGAATACTGTACAACTAGGCAATCAGAAGGCATGAACATGGGCTGGCAGAGTGGCTCAAGCAGTAGAGCTCCTGCCTAACAAACACAAGGCCCCGAGTTCAAGCCCCAGCACTGGAGGGTTAAAGGGGAGATGGGATGAACTGTTTGATGGTTCATTGTTCAATACACTACAACACAGATGAATCTCAGCAAAAGTATGCTAAGAAGCCAGATCCTCCCCCCCAAAAAAAGTGGTAGGGGACATACTGATTCCATTTATCTAAAATTCTAGGAAATGCAAACTAATGTAAAGCACAATAGCTGCCTGAGAAACACGTGGTGAGGTGCAGTAATGGGCACCAGGAAACCTCGCAAGGGATGATGGATGTATGCTAGTTTGACTGTGGTAATGGTATTCCAACTGTATACATATGTCAAAAGTTATCACATTGTACACTTAAAATGTGCAATTTAACCCTCACCAACAAATATATCCAAATTTTTAAATTTTATTTTTTAAAAAATTCAATTTAGGCCAAGCATGATGGCTCAATGCTGTAATCCTCACTCCTCTGGAGGCCAAGATAGGAAAGATTTCGATTTGAAGCCAGCCTGGGGGTGAGGGAGGGAAGCTCATGAGACCCCCTGTCAAGCAATGCTGGGCGTGGTGGTACTCACCTATTAGGGAGCTTAAATAGGAAGATCTTGGTCCAGAATGGCCCTGGGGGTTGGGGATTTAGCTCAGTGGATGAGCACTTGGGGGGGGGGGGGGGAAACAGAACAGCCCTGTGCATAAAGCGAGACCTATCTCAAAAATAACCAACGCAAAAAAAGGCTAGTGTAGTGGCTTAAGTGGTAGAGCACCTGCCTACCAAGTGTGAGGCCCTGAGTGCAACTCCCATTACTGCCCCCCAAAAAGATATATATATATATATATACAATTTATTGCATGTTATTTGTATCTCAATATCTCAATAAAGCTAATTTTAACAATAAATAAAACAAGCTGGCTGAAGTGGGGATGGCCCGCAACCCCAACAACTTAGGAGACTGAAGTTGGAGGATCATAAGTTCGAGGCCAACCAGGGCTAACAGTCTCAAAAAAAAAAAAAGCCCACAAATTAAATAAGTAATAAAAGTCTTACAACCAATTACGTGTGCAATATTCAACAAACTGACTTTTTAGGTAGTTAGTGCTTTTTTGTGTAACAGGTGAATGTGGCCAGTCAAGGCTGGAGAGCAGAAGGAATTACTCCTCACAAGCTGTCATCCCTACCACTTGCCGCTTTGGCTTTGCCCACACTTCCCTGGTCTAAACTAGCAAGCTGGACAATGTCCAGTCTATTACCCCTCGGAGCCCCTCTCCCCGCCCCCAGCCCCAGTCTTTTTGTCTCCTAAAGCAGCAGATCCTTACTTGTCTGGAAGAGCAGACACAAGGAACAAAAGGCTCAATGACTATTTGACAGATTAAAGAATAGAGAACTGTTTTATTTAAGAGCTCCCTAAAGAATCAGAGCATTCGAAGCTCTATGCTGTCCTGTTGAGACGCAGTTAAATATTGCCCAGATCAGCAAGTACAAGACCTGTCCCAGTCACTCACTTCCTAACACTTTACAATTTTCTTTCTTTCCCCTTTTTTGTTCCAGATTCATGAATGAGTAACACACAGGTGTGTTGGAGACACTCTAATATTTTGCAAGGTGTCTCATTCAAAAAGCCCCAACAGCTTGAAATCATTTTTCAAATGTCTAAAACGGTGGCCATAACTAAAAACCATGGAAAAGCATAGACAATGGATCTTGTGTGTGAGTCGTGATACAAAATAGCAGGATCATTATTTGAGAACCAGAGGTCACACTAGTGTTTAGCAACAAAATTAAGACTTACAAATGATTAGCAATAGTTATAAAATAATAGCAACATTGTAATTAACTTTGGCATTCTGACTCCACCACTTATTAGCTGAACGACATAAGGCAAGTTTCTTAACTTCTGAAACTCAGTTTACTCATCTTTAGAACGGGATAATCATACTACCGGCCTCGGGATTGTTGGGAGAGTTAAACGTGTTCGTCTTCATTATCGTCTCCTAATGAGAGTTAACTGAATGTGAGCTACGAACTACCATGAACTTTCAAAGGCTCTCATTAACTCACTAATCCTTCTGACTCAGTTTCAAATGCTGTGCTATCATTTACTAGCATATTACTTCTGAGCCCTCAGTTTCCACATCCGGAAAACGGGAACCATTATAGCGACCTGACTTTTAAGGCTGTAGTGAAGGATTAAATAACTACATAAAGCTCCCTTCCCTCGCACGTCCCAAAGTGAAGATCGCAGAGGAAGGAAATACTTCTAGTGGCTGCAGACACCGTCAGTTTTTCCATTTCTGGAGCGTGAGGAATGGGAGGAAAGGAGATGTAGAGCGGCACAGCGAAGGGTCAGGGGGTCCTGCGTGAAGTTCCCAAAAATGCGCGCCAGCGGCGGGGTGACCGAGAGCGACTCCCCCGCTGCGGGCCGGGCCTGTCGCTGGTCCCCTCGCGGGTCCCGGGCCGAGGAGCCTCCCCGAGCGAGCGGGGTTATTTCGGAATCACCATGAGGCAATTCTCATGAGGCAATGGGTCAGGAATGCGGCGCCGAGCCGGGCCGCTGGCGTCCGCGGTCCCCGGGGCGGCTCTACCTGCCCCCGGCCCCACGGGCATCCCCGGGCTGCGGGAGCCGGAACTCGGGGAGGCAGGAAATGAATGGGGACCCGCGGGGTGGGGGCGCGGAGGGCCGGGCCCCGAGCCCCGGGAGGCCGGAGTGGGGGGTGGGGGGGTAGGAGGGAGCCTGTCCCTGTCCCCAACACACACACACACACGCACACTCCATCCGCCACCAGATCCGAAGCCCGGCCGGGCGCCCCTCCAGACAGGGCTGGGCGAACGCGACGGGGACCGGGCCAAGGCCCCGGCCGGGCCCCTCGGGGCTCCTCACCTCCGCGATGTCATGTTCCTCCCGCCCTCCGGCTCCGCGACGGACCCGCTCCTTGCTCAGGCTCCGCTGGGCCCGGTCACATCGGGCTGGCCCGAGGGAGGCCCGCTCCGGACCGGACGGGGGGCAGAGCCAGCCGGCCGCGCGCAGACCCCCCTCCAGGCCTGGGGATCCCGGACACTGTGCAGCCGCCCCCCGGCCCGGCTCGCTCCTCCTCCGCCCCCGCCCCTCGGCGGCGGCGCCGGCGTAACGTCACCTCGCGCGACACTCGCCGCCACTTCCTGCTTCCCGTCGGCCGGGGACTGAGCGCGGTGGCGGCGGCCGGTCCTGGCGGCTCAGTGGCTCGCGCCAGTTCCCGGGTCACGGGGGCTTCCTCCTTTAGTCGTGGCTGCAGGGTCCCTGTCACCCGCTCAGTGCCCCTCCCCGCCCCAGCTGGCCAGTCGGGATCCGTTCTTTTCATTCCCCTCCTCGCTGCGCCACTTACTAACTGTGCAACCTTGGGAAGGTCACTTAATTTCTCCGAATCTCGGGTTCCTCCATTCCTTAACTCCTGTAAAACACAGGTAGTAATTGTATTTTGTTTAGGGGGTGATTGCCAGGACTCAGTGTGTCAAATGCTTAGGACTGGGCCCGGCCTCACTTGAGTGCTTTGTAATCCTCAGCTGTTATTATAGCTAGACATCTGCTGAGTGTTTTCCTCTCGTTAGGCACTGTTTTAGATTAGGAGGATATAACAATGCACAACAACAAAAATCCCTGTGCTGTGGTGGGAGGAGTTACAGAAAAACATTTTAAATATACATATAAACACATAGAAATTTGAAGTTTTATATAAACGCATAACTGCATATGTGCTACATGCAGCTATTGGAGATGTAACGTGTGAGAAAGGAAGGAAGGAGGGGCGAGGAAGAAAGGAAGGAAAACCACAAGGCTGGGCTCGTAGCTCACCTCTTTAATCCTAGCTACTCAGGAGGCAGGGATTAGGAGGATGTCAGTTCAAGGCCAAGCTCAGCAAAGAGTTTGCAAGACCCCATTTCATCCAATAGCTGGGCACAGTAGCCCTGCCTGTCCTCGCTATGCTGGGAAGCACAAATAGGACTGAAGTCCAGGCTGGTCCTGGCATAAAAGAGGCCCTATCATAACAAAACCAACACAGGCAGGGCACAGGTGGTTCACACCTGTAATCCTATAATTGGGAGGTAGAGATCAGGAGGATCGAAGTTTTGAAGCCAACCTGAGCAAATACTTTTCGAGACCTTGTCTTGAAAATACTCAACATAAAACGAGGCTGGTGGAGTGGCTCAAGTGCTATAGCGCATGTGTGAGGCACTGTGTTCAAACCTAGTATCACCAAAATATATTAAAAAAAAAAAAAAGGAAACTGTTCCTTATACTGGATGCTTTCTGGAGCAACGAATTGCTGTGAATCAGAGCACAGCTTCTGTTCATGTCTGTCACTCACAAAATTTCATGACTTTCCTTTTTGGTTGTGGTGGTGGTATTGGGGTTTGAACTCAGGGCTTCATACTTGTTAGGCAGGTGCTCTACTACTGCTTGAGTCACATCCCTAACCCTTTTCTTTCTTTTTCAGTCAAGAACTTTCACTTTCTCACTTAACTGAAGTTCTTTCTGGCTTCTCTTCACCTTATCCAAAATGCCTGCATCACCACTCTTACATTTGGGAGCCACTGTGAAGTAAAGTAAGGTTTACTGGAACACAAGCATTGCAGTGACACAGCATGCAATTTAAAATTTACAAATTATTTATTTCTGGAATTTTTCCAATTAATATTTTCAGACTGCAGTTGGCTGCAGCTAACTGAAACTTAGGAAAGGAAAACCCTCAAAAGGAGGAAGAGATTACTGCATGACCAGTTTTTTTTTGTTTCGGTAACAAGGTCTTACTCAATAAGTTGCCCAAGCTGGCCTTGAACTCATGATTCTCCTGCCTCAGCCTCTCAAGTACAGTAAAGGTTCTGAGGCTGGAGGCTGCCTCCTAGGAGTGAAAAATAGAGAAGTCTGTGGCAGGTGTGGAGGAAGGGCCAAGGGAGACTAGTAGATGAGCTTGGGGAAGGGTAGAGATGGAACAGAGTTCTGTATTTTATCTAAATAGCTTTGGTTTTTACTCAGTGAAATGGAAAGTCGGTGGAAGATTTTCAGTGGAGAAGGGATACAATGTATCCCTGAATCAAGACTGAATCAAGAGCACAAGGCTAGAAACAGACCAGTTCAGAATAATGGAATACCAGCCAGGTATGGTGATGCACTCTGTAATCCCAGCTCCTTAGGAGGTGGAAGCAGAAGGATTATGAATTCAAGACCAGCTTGGGCTACATAGCAAGACTCTTGTCAGAAAAAGAGGGTTGGATTTGCAAGCTTGAAGCCCTGAGTTCAAATTCCAGTCCCACCAAACAAAAAACTAAAAAAGGAAAAAGAGAACTGGAGGTGTTGGCTCAACTGGTAGAGAGCCTGCCTAGCAAGTGCAAGGCCCTGAGTTCAAACCCCAAACACACACACACAAAAAAGAAAGAAAGAAAAGAAAAGAAAAAGAGGGAGAGGCTAGAAACAGACCAGTTCAGAACAGTGGAATACTGCAATATTCCAGGCTGGACACTAGGGTGGCTCAGGGCAGGGTGAGAAGACAGACCCTTTCCTTAAGGAATGCTGGTATGGACCACAGATCCAGTAAATGGCAGAGGTAGAATTTTAACTCACATCGATATTGCCCCCAAATCTTCATTTTTTCCTCCTCTTACTCTCCACCTCACTCCCATACAAACAATTCTCATACAACGTGCTAACAGCTTCAGCATTGATCAGCCACATAAAAATCACCATTAATATATGCCTATTTATGTTAGGTAATAGCTATTCAGCAACCAGTTGTCTATCCAGATAAATTCTAGCCTCTGAAATGACTCCAAGAACAGGGGGTTTTTTGGCATTACTGGGGTTTGAATTCAGGGCTTCACGGTTAACTAGACAGGCGCTCTACCACTTGAGCCACTCCACCAGTCCTGTTTTGTGTTGGGTGTTTTGAGATAGGGCCTCTGGCACCATTTGCCTAGGCTGACTTCAAACTGAGATCCTCCCGATCTCTGCCTACCAAGTCATCATGATTACAGGTGTGATTACTATCTAAAGAAACTAGGATTACCCAGCTTCTTTTTTTTTGTTTTGTTTTGTTTTGTTTTTTAAAACAGGGTCTTGCTATATAGTCCAAACTGGCCTGGAACTCACTATTTAGCCCAGGTTGGCCTCAAACTGGAGATCCACCCCTCCATCTCCTGAGTGCTAGCTACCACGTTTTGGTGTTCAACACCTTAACTAATGGTAGGCAAGTGTTCTACTGCTTGTGCCACTCTGCCAGCCCTTTTTTGTGTTGAGTATTTTTGAGATGGGGGTGTCTCTCAAGACTATTTGCCCTAGCTGGCCTCAAATTGAGATCTTCCTGATATCTGCCTTCTGAGTAGCTAGGATTACAGGCATTAGTCACGGGCACCTGATGGATGAGGTCCTCCAAATTTTTTTTGGTGGCACTGGGGTTTGAATTCAGGGCCCCATGCTTGTTAGACAGGTACTCTTACCACTTGAGCCACTCTGCCAGACCCCCAATTCTTTTGAACAGCCACCTGATCTGTTCCCTGCTTATCTCACCAGCCCCTCATCTCCTTACCACTCACCTCATTCTCTATGATCCAGCCATGCTGAGTGACCTTCAGCCCACACCTGCCCCCACCTCATGCTCCATGCCATGTTCTGTCCCATTTTCAGATCTTTAAACAATTTGTTTCCTCCCCCTGGAGAGTTCTTCCTGACTTCCACTGTAAATACTAGTTTATCCTCTGATCTCAGACTCCAGGTCACTTCCTCCAGGATAGGAAGCCTTACCTACTCTTGCAGTTCAAAGACACCTATCCTGACTTGGTCCTTTATCAATCTAAGAGGAAGTAGGACTTGGGTTAATTCCTGGATCTGCCTGTCCATGAACCAGACAACAGAATCCTCTGTCTCTTTTTGCTTCTCTGTAAAGAGGGATCAGAATCCCCCCCTGCCCCATAAGGTAGGTTTGTGTAGTACTTACAACAGTGCCTGGTGAAGTGAGCACACACGTGTGAATGCTGGTTCTCATTTATTTCTTTTCCAAAGTAAACTCTGCAAGAGTACAGACACCATCGCCTTCCCAGACTTTCCTATATTTTCTATATATTCTGAAGCTGGCATGATCTTTCTAGAATACAAATTGAACCATGTTACTCCCATGTTCTATGAAGGAGGTTCAAAGTCTTTCACATTTAACCAAAATTCTTCCATTTGTACATGAGACCCTTCTAGCATTGGCCCATGCACACACCCTCACATAATCAGGCACTTTCTTTTCTTTTCTTTCTTTTTTCTTTTCTTTTCATTTTTTTTTTTTTTGTGGTATTGGGGATTGAACACTAGCTTGAGCCACTCCACCAGCCCTTTTTGTGATGGATTTTTTTCAAAATAGGGTCTTACAATTTGCCTGGGCTGGCTTCAAACCGAGATCCTCCTGATCTCTGCTTCCTGAGTAGCTAATAGTGTGAGCCACTAGCACCCAGCTAAGAAAATATCTTTATTTATATTTTTTGGTGGGACTGGGGTTTGAACTCAAGCATAGTATCTTTAAATGAAAAACATATCTTGAGCCTGTTATACACCAGGTTCTACGCTAGGCTCTGGGTGTACACAGACAAGAAGACATGACTTTATCTTAAAAAGAATTCATAATCTCAGGGAAGAGACAGAAAGTTCAACCAACAATGACATTAAAATGTGTTAGGGGCTGATAGAGGCATGAGCAGGAAGTCCCAAGAGCATAGGAAGGGGCCTTCTTTTATTTTCAGAAAGTGGTCAAGGAGTGTGTGCAGAGAGTGGTGATTGGAACAGGGGCTTGCATGTGAGCTTGACACTTTGTTTTACAGATGGAGGAGTATCTGAAGAATGTTATCTGTGCTGAATTTTGGGCTGGTGGCATGGCTCTAGTGGTAGAGCACAATCCCCAGTACCATCAAGATGAGAGAAAGAGAGAGAGAGAGAGAGAGAGAGAGAGAGAGAGAGATTACTAAATTTTGGAAGGCAGGGATGCCAGAGACAGGAAGAAGCCTTTGGAAAGCACCTTGCCAGGCACTGGTGGCTCACACCTGTAATCCTATCTACTTAGGAAGCAGAGATCAGGAGGATCATGGTTGGAGGCCAGCCTA